CTCTTATCAGTTTCATGTCTTATATTGTGGCACCTAAACCTGCTCCCAGCACTTGAGGTGAGGCTGTCCCAGCGCAGAGCAGAGCAGGACAATCCCCTCCTCCCTTACCTGACTGCCTGATGCCCCCCAGGGCAGGGTTGGCCTTCCTGGCTGCAGTGCTGACCCATGTTCAACTTGCCATAAACCAGGACCCCCAGGCCCCTTTCCATGGCCCTACTTTCTAGCACTTTCATTTCCCAGTATGTCCATACATCCAGGGTTGCCCCATCCTTGGTGCATCTCAGAATCTGGCACTTTCCCTTGTTGAACTTCATATGTTTGGTGATTGCCCAGCCTTCCCCACTTTATGAAGGTCTCTCTGCAGGGCCTCCCCACCCTTGAGGGAGTCAACAGCTTCTCCCAGTTTAATACCATTGGCAAATTTACTCAGTATCCATTCAAGTCCTGCATCCAGGTTGTTAATAAAGAGGATAAAGAGCACAGAGCCCAGGGTGGAGCCCTTTGGAACCCCAATAGTGACAGGTCACCAGTCTGCTGTCACCCCATTCACTGACATCCCCTGTACCCAACCCATGAGCCAGTTGCTCACCCACTTCACGAGGCATTTATTGTACTGTGCACAGGATATGTTCTTCCAGGAGGATACTGTGAAAGTATTGAAAGCTTTACTGAAATCCTAAAAGATTACTTGTTCTGGCTCCCCTTGTTTATCTAGGTGTGTTACCTTGTCATAAAAGGAAATTTGGTTTCATAAGCAGGACTTCCTTGTCATGAAGCTGGGCTAGTTCTGACTGAAACCTGCATTGTCCTTCAGGTGTTTTCAGGAACTCACAGAATAATATCCTCCAAAATTTTACCAGTCACTGAAGTAAGACTGACAGGTCTGTAGTTTTCAGGGTGATCTTTCTTGCCGTTCTTGAAAATTGGAACAATGTTAGCCAGATTTCAGTTGACTGGGACCCCTCTAAATTCCCAAAATAATTCAAAAATCATTGAGAGACCTTGCAGTGACATCAGACAGCTCTTTTGAGTACTCTTGGATGAATCCCATCAAGCCCCAAACACTTTAAAGGGATCCACCAGATCCTGCATAAGTTCAGGGTCCACTAGGAGCTGATCATTCTCACAGTCCTGGTCCTCCGGCTCAGGACATTGGGACCCCCATGCCCCATAATCCATGCTGAAGAGAGGCAAAGAAAGCAGTAACATCTCTGACTGAGATGGTGAGGTGACCACCCTCATCCTGTAGGTGTGGGCCAATGTTTTTTCTGCACTGCCTTTTGCTATTGATATATTTAAAAGCCTTCTTTTCATTGTGCCCACAGTTTTGGAAGCTTCAACCCCAGTTGAGCTTTGACCACATTAATGTTCTTCTACAGCAGGGAGCACCATCTCCATATTCCTCGCATGCATGTCCCCTGTCCTTGCCTCACCAAGCACACACCTTCTTGGTCTGCCTAGACTCAAAAAGAATACCCCTACTCGCCTAACCTGGCCTCCTGCTTTGCCAGGTTGGCTTCTGACATTTTGAGGTTGCTCACTCCTGCATTTCAGCTCTTGAAGATAATACCTGAAGTTAAACCTGCAAGTTCAATCACCATGGCAGCTGCAGTATGAAGCTGTCTTTGGCAGATGGCCATGATGATTGGCCTCCACAGACTGTGACTTCTGGCAATCTCTTGCACTTCACAACAGACTGATGTTAAGGGGAATGATGACTGTTAAGGGGAGTGGCTGTACAGCTTGACCACCAGATAAGCAGCATTCTCATTTAGCTTACAAATAGAGGCTAGTCACTATATGCTGCTATATGCTGGATTTAGTCATAAGATGTACTTTATTCAAACCTCAAGAAACTCAAACGACTTCCACTTGTACCCTTGAAAGTATTTCTGTAAAGATGTTACTGGAAATCCTCATATAAAGCATTTCTCATTTTTTACCATCCCTTTTTATCAAACCTTATACCAAAAAAAAAAAAAAATGTACTGTATATTTGACAAGGATGCTGAATTGCCAAAGCCACCTAGTTTTCACACAAATATTGATAAGCTAACTCATCTGTCACAACTGTTTCAGATATAATGGAGCACCTTGCCACTGCTTCAGAGATGAAGGTCCTGATTGTGTGATGCAATCACTCTGTCCATACAGCTGCTTGGGCTTTTGCTGCCTTAATTTACTGCCCATTTACAAACTAGAAATAACTTAAATACACAAACTCTGACATAACTACAGAATGGGCCTTAATGGCCCTAAACTGTCTATTGAAAGATACAAACATAAGAGCTGAGACTAACTGGGCAGTCACTTAGTCTCACAAGGAATAAGGCTGATTGTTTCTTAAGAAAGAAAACACAGCTATGCACAAAATTTAAAGCAGAGTTAACTTCAACAACAGCATCCCTCCTTCAAGAATGGAGTTTACTACAGCTTAAAATATTGTCTGAATTTCTTGAGGTTTGAATAAAGTACATTTTATGACTAGCTGGAATGTGGAAATCTGCAAAATCCAGCATATAGTGACTAACCTCTATTTGTGAGCTAAATGAGAATGCTGCTTATCTGATGGTCAAGTCCTGTAGAGCTGTTCATCATTCAAGTACATAGAGGACTGTTGTGGGAATGTTACAAGTGCCTGGGTAGCACTGGGAAATGCTATAGCACTGTTTATATGAATTATGTATTGCTTTGGAACTTCATATTAACATACAATCAGAGGGACCTCTCCTCTTCCTCAATACAGGATACAGTGCTCTGTATCACCTTGTCAGCAAGGCATAAACTTGCATTAGGGAGAGAATCTGCAAGAGATTTGGGAATTTTGAAATAACTTGTAAAGGAAAAATCAAATCCAAAAGCCAACCACAGATTCAGGTTAATGTTTTTGAGATTCAACTAGCAACACACAGACAAGAGATTATTAAAAAGATTTTTTTTTCTCATTTTTTGTCATGAAAAAAACCTGCTTGGACATTTTCATCATCAAAATACTCACAGCATTTAATAAATTGCTAAAACAAATAACCAGCTGGTGTCATAGAGATTTAGCTACAAATGGGCATTGTACACAATGCTGGATTTCACTCAGAGGACTCATTCAGAAAGACTTATCAAATCTAGACCAGACTGAGTTGTCCTGTGACAGCTTCTGGGATCTTTAGAACCTATGACTTAGTGTAACCTTTTTGTTCCATTTGTCATTCAAGATGCATCACTGAATATGAAAGAGGACCACATCATACAATCAGCAAGCTTCTAATACGATTCTTCTCTGTTCTGTAGTTAAGCACTGAATGCTCTCAACTCCCACACCCAGACTGTGACTAGCTTCTCTCTGCCTTACTGGAAGTATGGGAATGACCCACTAAAATTTCTTAATCTGCAGGGACACCAATTTTGAAATATATTTGATCTTAACTTTTAATTAAGAAGACAAATGGGTTGTGTTAGAGACAGCATATTTGAGGCAAATTAATTTAATGAAAGAGTAAACTCTTATTTTGCCAATCCCTTCTCTCTACGGCTAAAGAAGGAAAAAAAAAGCCCCCACAAAAAAACTACTGATTGCTGCTTTAGAACTCAAGCTAGCTCTCTATATGATCCCCCATCCAATACTAAAGAGGACTGGGAAGGCTGTGTATTTATGGGAGACAGCTGAAAGAGGAGAAGATAGGGGAAAGATGAGGAGTAGCAACTTGTGAGGCAAATGCTGAAGTTGCAACTAGAGCTGTATAGTAGAGGACATTTAAAGCAGCTGCTGCAGCGCCCCAAAGCAGTCCAGCCCCAGCAGCTGGACTTGTCACAGTTGTCATGGGCAGGGCATTCCATTTTCTGCAGATTCCTGAAGGATAAGAGAACTATCACCACCTTTTACAAGTGGTTGGTTCATTGAAATACACAGACCAACAGCTGGCGGGTTTACAAGACAGGAAGAAAAAGAAACTTTTTTTTTTCCTAAAAAAAGCATGGATTTACATTCAAATGACTTAATACACCACTAGAAAGCAGTAAGATATGGGAGTGATCAATGGAGTCCCGCAAGTGCTTCAGATACCTGTGTTTCAAGACATCTAAGATAATCAAGTCAGCACTGGCAGAATCTGCAGCTACAGGACTTCAACAGGATTCAGTTTGTCACTTTTCTGTATGGGCAGTTAGCTCTAACTTTCCGAAAACAAATATTGCCACTAACATACTCTTAATTCCAGAACACTTAAAAAAAAAGAATATCCTGTCTTAACAAAGTTTCAGTTTAACAAGAGACTTGTAGGAACTACAAATTTGCCACATTTTAATTAAAAAAACCATTACATTACAATAAAAGAATGATACTAAATAAAAAGGTGCACAATGAACACTCATACACTGTAAACAGCTGGCAAAATTATTTAAAAGGCAGGCTACAATTCAGTAATGGTGAAATGCAGTTTCTTCTCTACAGAATCAGTCCTCAGAGTCAGAAACCAGGGACAGCAAAAGCCTTCAGATGTAACCTTTCATTTGTAGGAAAGACCCAAGAGTTTAACCAGCATTCTGAGATTCTCTCTCAGAAAGCGTTCTCCTCCCTACAAATTTAGTGCCACCCATCCTTGTTCAAATATGGCAACCACCAGAGTTTTCAAGGTAAGATATATACAGACCATGTTCTCATCCACAGAGGTTTACAAAGCCTTGGATACACAGAGCTTTTTAAAGTCATGGTTTCTTTTGCCAGGTATTCTCAAACATCCATATTTATAGTCCATAGCATCCAAACTACTGGAATGTTGTAAAAGTGTATTACATTTTTGCATGCCAACTTATCTGTAAAAATCATACTTACTTACTCAGAAAAACACACCAGATAGTCTTCAAGTGCAAAGGGCTCCTTCCTGCTCACAGGAGAGGATTACACACCTGACATGAAACCCAGCAGTATGCTCAAACCCCAAGCTGTTCAGTGGTTTTAACAGCCAGAGTAACACATTCAACAATGTCATTCACTGAATTAATCCTGGCACATGTCAGTTTCAGTTGAAAATCCCAGGATCAACATAAGGATATGCAAGAAACTCTCCCAGTTTATTGCCTTCTGCATCATAATGGAGCATCCGAAAACAAACATCACAGAAGAAACAAGGATCCTCTGGTGCCAGACTGTCTCTGTTGGTTACCCACCTGCAGGTTACAAAACACAAGTGTATTCTTATGAGTGAAACACACTTGAGGCAAACATCTCAACATTTTACTCAGGATTGGGGATGGCAGCAACAAACAACAGTAATAATTTTATAAACACAAGGTTCTACCTATATTACATATCTCCTATCCCATGCATGCAGCTCATTTCCAAACTCCACACCCATTCCATGTCAACCCCAGCAGCTCCAGCAGCACTTCCTGAGAAACTCTCTAAACCTGTATTGCTGGTACAGTGCATTCAAAAAACAAAACAAACCAGGAATCTTCTGTCCACCCTTTGGCCATCTAAATCATAAAAGATAAATCTTTTTCTTCCTTAATGCAAGAAACTGTGAAATGGAGCAGATGTGTACTGACCCAAGCTCCTCTGAGTAATCAAAACCATTTAGGAGTCTAAAAGCAGGACCCAAATGATGCAGACATGAAAAGGTGAGGATTGCAGCACACTCCAGCAAGCACTGAAGTTAACATGAACACAAGTTAACATGTTTAAGGAGAGCCTGCCATGGCAATCAGTAATTAATTTATGATAGCACTCAAGAGGCCACGACAGCTGAAGGCCTCTGGTGATTACAGATGTTATCTGCACAGATTAGAACACACTGGACAGCCAGCCAAAGCAGCTCTGCTGTCTATGGTTTAGCATGTCCCCACTTAAGCTTAGTGCTTAATCTTGGTTTTAATTTAATGCATTTACATCACCTCTGGTAATGCCCTCCCCATCCCATCCTTCCCCCATATTGACCCTTTGGCTCCACCTCCCCTTATGGCCAAATGCCTCACAGATTATATTGTGAAGGCATCCTCAGGGCTCTGCTAGGAACACAAGGATGGACTCCCATCTCAGGGGGAATTGGGTCTTTGCCTGATTCCAGAGAAGTCTAAGGCCAAACAAGCAAGACAATGAAGACACAGTTGCTGTGTCAAACAGAGGCTGAGAACATAAGTTTTCCTAAAGAAAAAATATTCTGCTCTTTTAAGAAAAAGGCAGAAAATCATAAAGAATTCCTTCAAGAACAGCTGCGGAGCACACAGTCTTCAGGTAGTGGTTAGGAGTTCCCTTGGGGCAAGTTAAATGCCTTTAAAAAATCTCCAGATTTTAGTATATTATTATTGGACAGATCTATACCTGCACAGATGCTAGATTAAACAAAAGCACTGTATGATTTTTGGTAAATTATTTTAAAACATGTATCTTGCAAAGGAGGAAAACACAGCCTTTTCCCCCAAAAGCAGGATTTTCAAAAGTAATTGATAAGATAGCCAGTCTCTAGATATGGAAAAGAGCATGAGCCAAATAATTAATCTCCTACTCATTTAGTTCTTTTGAAACTGCTGAATCAATTCCAAATGAACACTACTTGCAGGAAGCCTTTTCCTGGTTAGACAGAGGTCAACTGCTTGAAGAGTGAAGATTATTCTTATTACGAAACACATACAGAGCTTTGATTTTTACTGTTTTTTAAAGTTAGCAGCAGCACCTAGAAAGAATTGAGACAACAATAGCATCAAGAATGTAGCATACCTTGCTGTATACATCTTGCACACAAAACATTTTCTGGTACATAGCCAATGTTTCTTGACCAGCAAGGGATACAGATTCCTATCCAGACAGTCATCATGATGAATAAGCCTTGAGGGAAATAAATAAATACAACACACGCAATAAAGATGTTGCCATACTGAAATTTATCTGAACATAAGCACGGACATTGAAGATAGGGTATGATTTAAATTCCTATGTAAACTCTGACTCGACTTCTGCTTAACATTTCTTAACATAGATGAAGATCTGGAGATAGACTGCTAGTTGCATCATCTGTGGATTTTCTGGTCACAAGTAAATTCAGTTTGTGCAGTAACACAGAAGTCTTCAGACCATCTCCTTTCTGTGGTCTTTTTAAAGCTTTTATTTCCTATGCAGACTAAGAAACTATTGTCAGGGGAATCTTCAGATAATTCATGTGCAACATCTATGCTTTTCTCTGGGTTATGCTCCTTTTGGAAAGCACCATGTATTATAAACACTTTGATACATCAGGCTCCTGAACAGAACATTACTCACTGCAGACAACCACAGGAATGCTCTCTCTAGTTATTCACTGAGCAAAGTCTACACAATTGTTCTACTGTTGATGTGGCTGCCACCTCATGGTCACTATCACATCACTTCTCTTCCTGGCCTATCCATCTCAGCCCACTATTTCCATTCCTTTTTTTATCTTTTCAGTTCCTGCCCCTCAGCTTCAAGTTCAAACTAATTGTTCAGTTGAGTCCAGCCACAGCCTACAACATTCTGCCCCCTGGTGCTCCAGAATCAGAATGTAAATCTGCCACACATTGGCTCTACATGGAAAGATCTTGACACTGTGGTTGCCATTCCTGTTACACAGCAGTCATAGCACACTAATTGCAAAGCAGTCTTTGTATGCAAATGAAAAAGAAAAAAACAAGGAAGATTACTCTCTTTCTTTCAGAGATACTCCCATGTATATGGAAGAAAAATTTAAGCTCTGCAGAAGCCAGCAGAACAATCTTACAGCAAATAAGTTAGTCTACCAAACATTCAGAATCTAATGTCTGAAGTTTGTCCAGAGAAGGCTTACTTTCATTTGCCCAAGGACTCCCAAAGAATAGTTACTTACCTTATATCTGTGATTATAATGATGTGTTCACAGTTCCCTTGGTGACAGTAAAGGTATGGAAAGCCAATTTTGAGGGATAAATCATTAAATACATAGTCCTCCATCTTGACAGACTGAAGATTTTCATAGCCTCTATCATGAGATTCTGACCACTCTATAATTGTTCTGAAAACAGAAAGGCCATCAGCATAGCAAAGCTATGAACTGTGAATACAGAGAAAAGATACCTTGGGGACATGCAAAATTCTTCACTGAGACATGGTTAAATGATGGAAATCAAAACATCTGGTAGTAATTTAAGGTGATTTCACAGCAATACTACAACACTACAGAACTGTCCACTGTTCTTGTGAAACATCTGCCTTTCAGTCCTCACCAGGCAGCTTCCTGAGGAGTTTTAGTCAGTGTATGCTCCTGATGGCACCCATCCAGGTGTGTTTGCAGCACAATACTTTTTAAGTAGTCCAATAATTCAAGTTACTAGCAGGTTATTTTGCCCCCTTGGTCAATGACTTCATTTTAAAGTATTAAAAAGCTTTCTTTTTTGATTTCATTTTTGTCAAGGAAAAACACAAAGCTGACAAGTGTAGTTACATTTCCAAAATTTAGCACTGGAAGGGCTACTGAAAATTTCTTTCTGGCTTTTCAGCACACTTCTACACACAAGGCATCTAACCAGCTGTGTACGCTACGACAAGCCCTTCTGTGAAGACCATTGTTGTTCACAGACAGAAAGACAAGAAGTAAAATATGGATTTCCCTGAAGTCACATACAAAGTTGGCAGAACAACAGGGTCCAAGAGTCAGCTCTTCCATACCAACCATTTTAAACATTTTGATCTCCTAAATCTCACTACCGTGTCAGCAATATCATGCTTCCTTAAAATATCAAATTTCTTTTCTGATCAGTCACACAGACCTCATGTTAACTTTACAATTAAGGCATTCAGCATATTTTCAAGACTGAGCAGGACAACCACTGCCACACAGCTGAGCTTGTTGTCTTTCTGACACATCTTCTAGCTCTGATACATCTACAGGCAAGTCTTTTGATTCCCATCACAAGTAGCGAAGGCACTTAAAAACCCAGTACAAAATGCCACCTGTCACTTTACAAAGAAATCCCATCTCAACAGAGCAAAACAGCATTTGCAGGTTAAAAAATGGATTCATACTCTTTTCAAAAGGGAAGTGAATGGAAAGAATAAGTAGAGCAAGTAAAGTTAAACTTCTCTAAAAACCAACTCATCATGGGAAAACAGCAGGGAAAGTCCATTCCAGCTTAATACTCTAGACATTCCAGTATCTGTAACACCACAAGTCATAAACAAAACAAATGTTCCTTAAGGTCTTTCTTCCTCAGTCAACATCTACAAATATCGTACCTGCTCAGATCTCTGCACTCCGGGTATCTTTTATCATTATAAAAGATGCCTTCAAAATAGAAGAAGGCAGATTTGTAGAGATCCTGAGAGACAGAGAGAGAAGTCTCCATTAGTGTTATGAGAGAATAAACACCTTAAACAAGAACATGTCAAAAATCCAAGCATGTTAGATATCTAAATTATATTAAGAGACCTCATTCTACAGGTGTCTAAGAAAAGTTCTGTTCTGATTGTAGATGCTGGTGTGACAAACTGGGCTCATTTGATTGCCAACTACGCAGCTACTCTGCTGATATTGCTGATATTGTTCTCAAGCCAGTACGGGTTACTGTAATGCTCTTATTTCAGTCCCCATCACAGAAGTTATGGACTTCTACAAAAACACAGAACAAGAACACAGGCATCACTGCACAAACTTAGTAATTACAAGGTGCTGACTTTAAAAAAAGTACAGTATTTTAAAAAATTAGCAAGATGCAGTGTGTTTACTTTGGGTGGCTACCAGATACCTATCCACCTGCTCTCATTCCTCTTGCTTACCAGGACTGGGGAAACAAAGTAAGACAAGCAAGCTCATGGGTTCAAAGAAAGGCAGAAAAGGAGAAAAAGCAAAGGCTGCATACAGAAGCAAAGCAAAAAAAAAAAAAGTTATTTATTCCCTACTTCCCATCAGCAGGTGATGGTGAGGCATTGGAATAAGCTGCTCAGGGAAGTGGTGAGATCAGCATCCCTCATCCCTGAGAATGTTGAAAAGCTGTGCGAATGTGGCACTCAGAAATATGGTTTAGAGAACACAGTGACGGCAATGGAGTTGATCTGGCATCTGGTGACTCTTGCACTGCTGGTATGAGTGCCATAAACTGTTAATGATCTTTGATGGAAGAGAATGTTACAAATGGACTGTCTACATGTGACAAACTTTGTAATTAAGGAAGAATTTTGAAGGATGATGGATTTTCTTGTGAGACACTAGAAGTGAGGTGATTGGAACTTCCAGGATTGCCTGTTTGACTTGTTTACACAGATGTGACCAGGAAGTGCTCTCATGTGTAGCTGTGCATGTGTGCATGTGTACATGCATGTGTGCAGGGGACAAGACTTCAATAATTCTCTGTCACCTCAGTAAGAAGTACTTTGTGTTCTGATCAAATGCACAGAGAGTTAATGTGGTGTGGAGTTAACTTTCCCCACAGTAGCCCCTGTGCATGCTCTGCATTTTTGGCAAAGGGGAGTCAATAATACACCAGTGTCCTGGCTACTCCTAAGCAGTACTTGCACAGCTTCAAGGCTGTCTCTCCAAGTCTCCCCAAGACCAGTGGGCTGGGGCTAGGTGAGAGGCTGGGAGGGAATGTAGCTGGGAGAGCTGACCCAAACTGACCCAAAGGATATCCCACATCATATGATGCTGCACTCAGCAATAAGAGCTGGAGGAAAAGAGGAATGGGGCATTCATGGTGAAAGCATTTGTCTTCCAAAGCGACCACTATGTATGCTGAGGTCCCAGGAAGTGGTTGGAACAGAATCGTAGAATCATCAAGATTGTAAAAAACCTCTGATATCAAGCCCAACCATCAACCCAGCACTGCCATGTTCACCACTAAACTATATCCCAAGTGCCACATCCACACATTTTTGAACACTTTCATGGCTGATGATTCCACCACTTCCCTGAGTAGCCTGTTCCAATGTCTGATCACCCTTGCATTCCTAATAACCAATCTAAACCTTCTTTGGTGCAATTTGAGGCCATTTCCTCTCATCCTGTCTCTTGTTACCCATGAGAACTGACCCCTTACCTGGCTATACCGTCCTCACCCTCCCTTCAGATAGTTGTAGAGAATGATAATGTCTCCCTTGAGCCTCTTTTTCTCCCTCAGCAACCCTTCAAGGACTCACTAAAGATTATCCCTATTTATTCTAAATGGGAAAACCATGGACAACCAGGCACTCCATTATCAGACCACTCTGGGGATGCTTATTTATGCCCAGAGGTCTCTTTGAGCTATTAACTCTAGGTTGCCAAAACACGGGAAAAGCAGACGCTGCTTTTCCAAAGACAGGACTTCTCAGATCATCTGCATGAAGACACAGTAGTAGAAATGTGTTTTACATTCAGACTCTTTGATTCACTTCTATCTGTTACTGTTACTCTCTCTGCTGCTGACACATAACAGGAAGGAGTGGCTGATACAGCAGATGATCCTGTTGCCAGCCAGAGGGATCTTAACAGCCCAGGGAAATGGGCCAACAAGAATTTGGTGAGGTTGAGCAAGGAGAAGTGCAAGGTCTTGCCCCTGGGGATAAACAAGCTGATTGACCATATGCTGAGGGCCACTCAGCTGGAGAGCAGCTAGGCAAATAGGACTCAGGGAACCTGGTAGATCCCAAATTGAACATGAGGCAACAATGTGTCCTTGCAAAAAGGATAGCCAATGGAGCACATGGGATCTTGTGCTGCATTAGATAAAATACCACTAGCAGGTCAAGGAAGGCAATCCTTCAGTTCCCCTCAGCACTACTGAGGCCATACCGAAAGGCCTGTCTTCAGTTCTTGGCTGCTCAGTGTAAGAGAGACACGGACACACTGGAGAAAGAGTCCCACAGGGGCCATGAAGATGATGGGACTGCAGCATCTCTCCTAAAAGCAGTGGCTGAGAAAGTTGCGAGTCAGAATCCTGAAGAGAAAGCTCAGGTAGGGGAATCTCATTAACATACACAATACCACTAGGGAGGGTGCAAAGAGGATGGAGTCAGGCTCATTTTAGCAGTTCAAGTGACAGCATTAGAGTCAATAAGCACAAACTGAAACACACACAACTCCTCCTGAGCCTCAAGGAACACTTCTTTACTGACACAGGTGACTGAATACTGACAGAGGTCGTCCAAGGAGGTTTTGCAACCTCCATCCTTGGAGATATGTAAAAAATGTCAGGACATGGTCATGAACAGCCAGCTGTAGGTGGCCTTGCTTGAGCAGAGGGAGCAGACCAGATGCCCTCCACAAGTCCCTTTCAACGTCAACCATTCTATGTTGATATTCTATCTAATGTCACATGATGTATAATCAAAATGACTCAATTTCAATATTGTCAACGAGATGATTGTTTTGCTCATACCAAGAGAATACGTAGCAGTTTTGGGAGAGAAGAATAATCTTCATCCCTACATATGATTAGCATCCAGTTGCAAACAACAAAGCACAGTGGGATGGTCTGGCTTTTTATTATTAGTGGGATTAAGCTATTACCTCTGGTGTTTCAGAATCCAGCTCAAAATAAAATTTATTCACAGAAATATACCTACGCAAAACTCACTGCTTCTGTTTCTATTTCCTAGCAGTAGCAATTATGGTATCTTTCTTGATATTGCACAAAACAGATCACCTTGGCAATGCTGCTATGAAGTATTTACTTACAGTGCAACCAACAGGCAGAACCAATGCAGCTGAATTTAGTGCTGAAGACAAAACAATGAAGCAAAACTCTGCCTCCCCTTCTATGTTTTCAAGACTCCTATACATGTAGAGGGTTCCACATAGAAAGTTTTACCTTGCTGATGTGCTCTGGTGCTTGATCTGGCTGACTGCTGAACTCACCACCTATCTGGAGGTCACTGACACAGGAAATCGAGTCTCTCAGTTCAGTGAGCTTCTGGCTGCCCAGTACAAGGACTGTTTGGAAGGGTTTGTGATCTTTATGCTACAAAGAACACAGAATACAAACCCCAGATAAATTATAACTTGTCAGCATCAGCACTGCTCTTCATTTGACAGCTTAAGGTCATTACTGGCAGCATCTGGCACATCACTTCTCTGAACAGCATCTTGCCACAGCCTCTCCTAAGACAGGTATTTAATAGTTTTATTCAGGAACTCAAATGTTACATTCTCCATCATAAAGTGCAGAAAAGACACAAAGTCTGAGCTCACTTATCCGAAATCAAGAAAAAGTACTTTTGTTTTCATGTATTTATTTTCAAGTTTTGAGCTTTCTGTAAAGTAAATTAACTACTGTGTAATTATTGTAACAGTTTTGTTATGTAAACCACTAACCGAATGAAAGCCAGATTCTGAAAAAGCCTTAAGAAATTATCAGAGTTGAAGAGTTTACCACGTCACCAGTAGATTCACTGATTTTAATTGCTTGGGAGAGCAGGATATTATTTGAATAGGAAATAATCAGAATACAACCCAGAGAATTTCATACCAACCTTCTGAAATATAAGAGGATAAAAGATGTTCAGAGTTAAAAGTAGTTCTCCCTCCTCAATTAGATCTGTTGGATCATCTGGCCTCTTTCCAGTTGCATGTGACTCCTGGAAAAACATACACACACACACATATATATATTATACTGGCAACCATAAATATACACACACACACACACACACAGAATAAACACTGGGCAATGGTCTGAGAAATGCTGAGGAACATTAATTCATTTTTGACTATGCAGCTTTCTGAATTGGAAAAAGCCTATTTCCTCCAAGGTGGAAAGGTGAGAAACTGCTCCAATTACTGACTGCAAGCATGTTTCTTCATTTCTCACCTTTGTTGCAAGACAGCTGGCTGCTCCTTGGCTATTGAGACGCCCCACAAAAAGGTATTAGAGGCTGCTGTCATTCTGCCCTCATGGAACCCAGCTGCTACCAACTTTCACCACTGAACGCTTTCATATGTAAAGGGAGATTGCAACCCTTAATTTGGGAAACACTAATCTACAAAATATACACAGAATGATATATATGAAAATTACAGTCAGTGCAGCTCTTCCTCTTATTAGGGAAGCTAGACATAGCTGGAGGCCATAATTTCTCCAAAACTGAAACCCAAAACGCAGCACTGCCCTTGCCACAGTACTGTGTATCAGAAAAGAAACAAATGATCCCTAGATTTTCATCCTGCTTTGTGTTTAAGACATAGCCCAGCTGTGAAGGTAGTTTTCTGTGGTCATTTCCTCCTTTTCCAATAAATCAAGAGTGTGTTCCTGCACAAACACCTCCCACCAGCATGGAGTATTCCTCAGATTTAGGAACAGGAACTTGTACTCCTGTAAGACTCAGAGACACCTGTGCTCTCTACTTTGCACCTGCCTTCTTCATGTGACACATTCCAAACTCCTGCTCTCCTCCTGTACAAAGGCATCGTGGTCCCAACCACAGAATCACTCCTCTGACACAGCTTGCTTAAAGAATGCAATAAATAACCATGTGCTCATTCTTTCAATGCATACTGCAGTATTCACTGAAACCCTCTATGAAGGTTTCTGTTGCTATTATTTTCTCAGATATTCCCCAGACAAAGAGCCCGAGCACTTGCATCATGTTGTTTACATAATGTGCCTGGATCTCTGAAACATGATAACTCTCAACAGACCAGGAAACCTCAAGAGGAAAAACAAGTCTAACAGTCACAGGAGGTTCTTTCCTCACTACACTTCTGTTCCTAATTTTTACAGCACTTCATGGCTTGCTAAACCCATGGACTCCAACACTTCACTGTCCCTGAAAGAGTTCAAAGAATGTGTATATGTGGTGCTTAGAGACACAGTTTAGTGGTGGATCTGGCAGTGTTAAAGGTAATGGTTGGGCTCAATGACCCTAAAGGTCTTTTAACCTTAATGGTTCTATGAACATTTATGAAATGAGGTTTTGCTGTTTAGGACTTCAATGGTTAAGAAGAAATCATTAAAAAAACCCAAACTTATTAAGCACAGTTTAAAAATTCCAATAAGGCTCTTCAGAGGCTGATTACTACACTCTTGGTTCCTGGTTCCAGTTTAGAATGGCTGAAAAACTCGGTTTACAAAGCTCAGAATTAGGAATTTACCACCACTGTGCTGCTACTGTTTTCTTCTCTCAGCCCTACTGAAATCAGCTCACAATCATTCACACACTGAAGCTGTTTCCAACACTGGACACCAGCAGCAAAACATTACCCATTTTGTCTAGCTCTATGTCTACTTCTAAGTTCACAGCACTTAAAAAAGGCAGTCATATAGTGGTAACAAGATGGAGCTCCTCCTTAACTACATCCAGTACTAACAGACAGTAAAGAGCAGACTTCCTGTCCTATCTTTCTATAAAATGTCTTTATCTTTAATCACTACCAGTGAACTTGTATCTGCAAACATTTACAGTGTACATTTCATAGAGGTGAATGAAAAAGCAACCAGAAGTTGGATTTTGGCTCCTGAGAGCCTATAAGATTACAGTAGCTTACCATCTCATAAGTAAGAGTTTCTTGTCTGCAAGCCCGATCCACAATAATTGTTTCTTCTCTCCTCTCTAAGGCCTTCTTCCGAATTCTGAGAGGCAGCAACATAAGACAAAATTTCATTCAACAATTTCCACTTAGAATTTCAAGAATTTCATATTTTTAAATGACATAAACTACTACAGACCAGCTTTCAAAGAGCAGGATTCCTGTCTGTCTTAGTGGGACAGACTAACTTAAAACACTCATCTCCTGACTTTCATAAAACCTGAGAGTGCACAGGCCAGCTTGTGGGTTTTTTCCCCCTCATGTGCAAATGACAGGTGGTTTGTGAGTAATTTTACACTCACAACAAAAAACAGCAAAATGTTTGAAGAGGTTTTACTAGGAGAAAACACTTTGTGACTTTTAAAGAACCAGTTTCAACAATTCTTTCCACTTCAAAAAAATTGAATTCATGTTCAAGCAAAGCACAAGGAAAGAAACAACCCACAAATATTACTTCTCAGCCCCACAGCATGGACACTTCAGAAAACCAAAACCCAAACCTTCATTATCAGTTATAGAAGAAAGAGTACCGTAAGTAGAATACCTACTAAAATACATGTATTTAACCACTACATGAACACCCAATCCTTAACATCCAGGGTAAGTTTACTTATCCTCCAGACCTCCACAAGGGTTTTCAGTAACAATCAGGCTTAACACTGATCACATTTCTAAACACATTTCTTTACATTAGTGCTATGTAAAGTACAGCAAAGGCCTGAAGTGGCCAAGTTTGTCGGCTGATAGAAACCTTACATATATTGGTTATCCTCTGAAATGCACCAGATATATCAATAAATTCCATGCACAACCCAAAACTCAACAAAACAGAGTGGGCTCAGATAAAGAGGTTATCTGGATACAGCATCAGTACTTACAGTCTGGCTGTTACAGAGTAACTGAGAGTTACTAGAGGTATGAGATAGGTTTCTTTGCAGGAACCTCACACACATGATTACCAGAAGGCCCCTGCACACTCCAAACTTAGGCACCACTTCAGAAGCACCTAGGTTCAGAAATCCTTTTCCAACAAGAAAGAAGACATATTCTGTATATCTTAATAAAAAAGTTCCTAAGCAACATTCAGAAGACTCATACCAATGATGCCATCATAAGCTGGTGTTTCTGCCCTTATGGTATTTCTGTAGGGTGCCTGTAAAGGGAACAAGCAGCCAGTCATATTTCCCAACCCACCCCAAACAAGGGTACTGTGAGAGCACTGTAACAGCATACCGAAGAGTGAGCAGACTGCTATCTTCAGGAATAACATCTGGGTCCTCTTCTTTCTCAGAAGACATTAACATATCAATGCTAGAACAATAAAAAAATAACAGAATCACAGGATCATGGTACAGTTTGGGCTGGAAGGGACCCTAAAAGATCATCTTGTTCCACTACCCCCAGCACCATTGGCAGGGACACATTTCACTGGATCAGGCTGCTCAAGGGCAGGTCCAACCTGGTCTTTAACGTTTCCAGGAATGGAGCATCCACAAATTCTCTGGGCAACCTGTTCCAGTGCCTCACCACTCTACACAGTAAACAATTTCTACCTGATATCTAATCTAAATCTAGAGCTATCCCCTTTGGACACAGCAGTGATTTCTCACAGTCTGTGTAGAAGTGCAGGAACCTGGAGGTGGTTTCACCACCTGGTCCCATATATGAGTTCCCATTTCAGGTTGTGCACTGCAGCACACCAGATTCACAGGAATCATCATATGTACATCCCCTCCTCTCCAGTCCTTCCCAGAAGCATTTTGCATTAATCACAATAAAATTTTATCCAGCTTAAAAATAGTCTGAGGAAAAAATATTTAAAACAGAGAACGGCTTTGAACCAGACTTGATTGCCTTTGTCTCTCACTTTTGCAAACCATATGAAGGCAGGGATTACTCCAGCGCCTAAGTCCACTGCAGTTTGGATCCCAGCAAAGTCTTGTGCAAACCCATCTCTTTATGGGACAAAACTACCACTGGTGAAGTCCAGGAAAACTTCTTGGACTATACCATTTACCCTCAATAACATTTATGGTTTCTTTATATTCTTTTTCATTATAATCTTATAACATTCCCCATGTCAGCAATAATATCACTACAGTAATGAATAACCCTTTGGAGTGGAACTGCATAGGAATTCAAAGTAATTGAGAAATAGAAATCTGGAATCAGCTATTACCAGCTGACAAATGAGCAAAAGTCAGAGACAAAATTTTGATTGTGGACAGATGGCTTTGTTCTGATGAGCCAATAAAGTCATTCAGTATTGACAGTAAATATAAATTTACTATTGTTCAGTTACTTGCCATTCAGCAACAAACAAAATTTTAAACTTTCTGTTTCACAGTTTTCATCTCAAACAGAATTTTTTTTAAGTTAGTGAGAAAATGGGATTCTCTCAGAAGCAGTATTTTAAAAGGAACTTTGCAGTAATGAACCACAACCTCCTGGAAACAGAATGGATTTTATCCTTAGATTCACAGTTGAGGAAGTGGAGGCAGAGACAACCAAGGTAATCCTGCATCAAATATAGACTGAAACACAGCTGAGAAATACTAATCTAACTAACAGAAAGATGGAGAACAGCAGTTTGTAGAACACAGTTCAACCTTTTAGACGGGGCTCTTCGCCAGGCAGCATAGTGCTGTTATGAGCAACCACATAATCAAGGAAAGGACATGCCCTGACAGACAAATCAACTCACAACTGATCCTTTCTGTAAAACTGACAACATGAACAAGTTATCCAAAGACTCCTGGCACATGGATCAGTGATCCTATACACCAAAGAGCCTAAGGCACTTGAATATGTATAATATTCATATAAATATACCATTTTGAGAAAATGACTTTGTATTCAGTTTTTTAAACATCACAGGAATTATATGCAGGATCAGAAAATGTTTATTACCTACCACTGTGAAGTTGCACTTGCATCAAAGGTGACAGTTTCCCATTTCCCTTCTGTGCCAGAACCCACCAACAATATGTCAGAACCTACCAAAAATATTTGTGCTTTTCTTTCTTCTCACAGCCCTAGGTGGGATCTCTGGCTGTGCTATCTACACCATGACCATTAACTGCCTGTTTCAGGGAAAAAACTAATATTCTTGGAAAAGCTGCTATACAGAGATACCACGTAAAATAGCTGACACTAAAACTGCTTTCTCTTTTTCCTTGTGAGGAACGGAAGGCAGCTAGTGTAAAGGGATACTGACACTGAACCCCTGACAAATTCCCATGGAAGCTTGCAAGCACTGGTACTGCCACCTCTCACTCCTGAAAGTCAGAAACCCCCAATTTCTAAAAGAAAAGCACAGCATCCTTTTTAGTATTGAAAATCTGTCTAATAGTTAATTACATATGTATTGTATCACATGCACTGAAGCCTGGAAAGGCTTTGCTGCATGGCTGTACACACAGGCCATGCCAGAGCTCCCCCAGCATAACTCTGCTGCCAGTGGAACCACGTAAGCAATACTTGGTCCATTGTCCTCAGGAAGCCAGGCTTTACAAACAGGAATTATATGCTGATCCCTTCAGAAATGAAGGCTAAGTCAGTGTCAGACACCTAAGACACAGAAGTGTGTGCAATACAGAATTTTCACTAAGAACACCTCACTCCTGACTGCTGCAAGCTTGGGATATTACTGTGTCCCCACCAAGACTATTCCCTGCATGCATGACAAATTCACCCAGTGCACTCAGTTACAGAGAGGGGAAAACACTGACCATGCTGTTTAATGGAAACTAAGGAGAAGTGTAGGACGGTAATGAGGAACAATAGCTGAAAGTGTCTCCTGAAAAAAGTCAAATGCCAAGTGTTATGTAAACTTGTGTCCCTTACAAAGATATTTTTAGGTGATCAGAAATAAAAAGGCTAAAGAGAACTCTCTGGAAATGCAGACTTGGAAGCAGTCTACCAATGAAGTTTTCAAAGTCTGTGACTTTACTTTTCCTAGATATTCTAGCAGCACAACAAGTTTTCTCTTTTAGATATTCCAAGATATTTTAGTATTTGGCCTGATACTTTTTAATAAGGGGTTACAGTGTTCATATTACTCTTTACATTGCACATATTTTAAAGGTAGTACTTTCATCACCTTTGAGACACTAATACCACAAGACACTAAATACTAATACGTTAAGACGTTAATGCTAGCTTAATGCAGCTTTATAACACATCCCAAGAGATATTTACAACTACCCCCTCTAATAAAACAAGAGGGTGAATTAGGGCTGAAGTTGAATGAGGTACCTGCAAGCCTCACCTCTCTTGACCTACCTAAAACCCACAGTGATTTGAGGCTTAGCCTGCCCTATACATGCAAGGAACACATCACACAGAAGACAAAACAGAATAACATAACTCAGCACCTCCAACATTCAAGGACTTCAGTCACTCAAGCACCAATCACGAATACCAAGGTAAACTTCTTTACTTACAGATTCCTGAGGCATTTGAACAAAGCTCAGAATTTTACTTTTTTGACATCTTGGTTATTTAAGAGAATTATGATAGAGTCTTCCAGAAAAAGATACAATTTTACATCTGTTTAAGATGAAAACACGACCAATCTCTACAACGATTATCAGCATACCACTTGAGCAATATGCAAGGCACTCTTACTGAGTCAAATGCAAGTGAGGGAAGACACAAATTTTTTCCTGCATTCTGTTTGCAGAAATGTATTACAGGAAGAAAACAGAATTAAAAAAAAATAATAATTACCCAAAACCAAACAAGCAAAACAGCAACAAAAATGAAGAAACAAATAAACAAAAACAACCCAACAAAACAAACAAAAAGTTTAAAAAAAACCACAAAACCATCCCACAATAACCACATTGCACTGGGGTGCTCAAAGAGTTAAACAGCATTTAAACATGATACCCTGTCTCCTCACCAGAAGACCCTACATTGTCAGGAGTACTTAAACGTACACTATGCAACTATTCTGAAAAAGATTTAATGATGGATATTGAAAAACTTCATCCTGAATCCATGAAAGATTATTTTAATCTTACCTGATTTTAAAAATAGATGTAGGAGTATCCGCATCTTCCTATCTCTCTTCTACCCCAAGAAAACCTACTTAATTTGTCAGAAGTTTCCTCAGAAGTAGAGTCAGAAAAATCTGTGTTTATATCCATTATGTGTTCATTTCAGCACTTATAAAGTTATATTTATACCAGTAATAAATGTGATCCCAGGATACCATAGAACAGATCTTGGTGTAGCCCAGTGTTCTCATCTCTCCTCCAGACAGGAGTATGGGCAGCTCAAGACCGGTGAATGAAAGTGATCAGAAGTGGTGATTTGAGGTTGGCAAATGTGAAGGAGGGACTCAAGAGGCTAGGGACATTTAATTTAACAGCGAAAGCACATGGAGATTATAGATTGGGATTTCTAGTCTGAACAGGGGAAAGGTCACACCAGGATGTGCAGGTTTAGCTTAATTCTCCTGCAAAGCCAACAAAAGGCTGCCAGATGATCAGTTCTCTCCCCTTCATAGATCACCAGTCTTTTTTCTCTTTCCCAAATGACCACTGTTCCCAGTACACTCAGCCTCAAGCAGACAGCATTGCTCTGTAACACTAGCAAATGCAGACAGCAAGTGAAATGCAGCAGGTAAACTGAAGAAAGCAATACAGAAGAAAAAAAGGAGAAGGAATGAGGGGGAAAAAATAAAGAAACCACCACCTTGGAATTCAAACGAAAACAGCAAAGACAGGTTCAGGCAACAGAGCTGCCACAGAGAATAAGGCACAGCACAGGAGCAATCAGGGACAATCTAGACTGGAAGAGCTTACAGAGTAATTGTCACAGTTTCTGCCACTTCAGAATACTTTTTTTTTCTTTGAACCAATATAATCCTTTATTTTTACTAAGTCTAGTAATGGTAAAAATTTATGCTAGCCACCAGAACTGTAACAGGTGAAGCACAAAGTTATACAGATAGGATCAGAACTCTGGCATGTCTTCCTTACTGACAGACTACAGGTAAATAACCAACTGTGATGCTTTCTACAGGAATTACTGCCAGAAATCAGGCCTCTTCTACAGGTGAAGGACAATTCTCACTATCCACGTGACCTGAAAGCCTTCCAGCCATCGCATGTTAGATTTGCTGCTGCCTCAACACCCACAAAGCATTAACATTCCCCTGACTTCACCACCAGCCCTGAGAAAAACAAGTCAGTGGAGGCTAAAGACCAAGAGACACTCAACTGGTACTGTATGCAGCCAGCTACCTGAACATTTACCTACTCTAAACGATGTTTTTAAGGGATTCAAACTAAAAGAGTAGGCTTAGATTAGCATTAGGAAGAAGTTCTCTGCTGTGAGGCTGTTGAGGCACTGGAACAGGTTGCCCAGAGAAGTTATGGATGCCCATTCCTGGCATTCAAGGCCAGGCTGGATCAGGCTTTGAGCAACCTGTTCTAGTGAAAGGTGTTCCTGCCCATGGCAGAGGGATTGGAATAAAATGATCTTTCAAGTTCCTTCCAACCCATTCTGTGATTTTATGATTTTTTGTTAATACAAACATATGCCTGGCTTATTTCTTCGTATAAGGTATATGTTTCATTGTACAACTGCTGCCTCCTAAAACCATTAAGACGTTCAGGTGCCCTAAAGTACTTAACCCGTACCATGTTACTAAATGTTTACCCATGCAACTTTAAGCACCAAACTGTTTGTGCAAATTCACAGATGTAACAAGGTTTCCACAACTGGAGCACTACCCTCCACAAAAACTGTTTGCCTTCACGGCATTTTTGGCCTACAGAGATTTTGGTGACCAACTCTTCATAAGGAACTGTACTACAAGAGGAGTATTCAGTACAAATGAGAAAGGGGCAAATTTGGACTGGGTATTAGGAAGAAATTCTTTACTGTGAGGGGGGTGAGGCACTAGAAGAGTTTGTCCAGAGAAGCTGTGGATGCTGGAAGTCTGGCAGTGTTCAAGGCCACGCTGAATGAAGCTCTAAGCTATTTGGTCTCGTGGAATGTGTCCCTGCACATGGCATGGGGCTATTAGGTCCATTCCAGTCCCCTGACAGTCTATGACTTTGTATTTACTCGGGAAATAGAAACAAACGCGTGCCACAGGTCCGGAAGAGGCTGCTCTGAAGCGGTTTTGCCCGAGCACCTTCCGCTTCTCCCCAGGAAACGCCGCGGCGTGCGAGGACAGCACCAGTCGCCTCCCCGCACCAGCGCCAGGCGAGGCCACCGGCATCCCCCTCGCACCGGAGCCGCAAATCCCAGCCTGCACACAGCCGGCCTGCCTCACCTGCAGACGGCGCGCACCTCGGCCGCCGTGCCCGGCGCGCAACCCAGCGCCGCCGCCGCGGCCGCGTCCTCCTCCTCCTCCTCTTCCGCCTCCGCCGCCAGCGAGAGGTCGGGCGGCCCCAGCAGCCGCCGCCAGCCGAGGCCCAGGGCGCCCACGCGGAACGCGCGCGTATACAGCTCGGCCAACTCGTAATCGGGCACCACGACCGCCATGGCCGCCATGGCCGCCGGGCCCGCCCTGCGCCCGGCCCGCCACACGCGTCACGGGCCGCGGGCGGGAGCGGAGGCTGCGCCTGACCGGGAAAGCGGCTGCCGTGCCTCTCCTGCCGGGCGGGAAACACCGGGCAGCGCTCGCTAGGGAGAAAACAGCTCCCGAAACAAAAAAAAAAAAAACACCAAAACCAACCAACCAAAAAAGCCCAAACAAAACAAAACATAATACTGGCACAGCTTAAGACTGTCCTCTCATTCTGCCACTTGTTATCTGGGGAAAAAGACTGATCCCCAACTGCCTACACTCTCCTTTAATATGCTTATTCTCCCAAAGTAAAAACTTAATGCCTTGGTGCGATGAAAAAGGCTAATGAGATACATAACCTATTACCTAACACTGCTCATGCTAACATTTAAAAAAGGATATATGTATATATATGTGTGCCAATCATCTGGTAGTTCCCCACTGAAGTACTGTGACAAAGCTGACATGAGCACAACCTGTTAAGGAAGACAACAGAGGTAAATCTGACTTGCCCTAACCTGATATACCTGGTGCACATACCCATCAAACCACAGCCTTTGCACTTGCTTCAAGACAAAATATCAATGGAATCAGAGAATCAAAGTATGGCTTGAGTTCAAAGCGACCTTAAAGATCATCTAGTTACAACACTCACTGCTGTGAACAGGGATACCTTCCAGTGGAACACGTCGCTCAATAACCCTGTCCAGCCTGGTCTTGGACATTACTGGGGATGGGACATCCATAGCCTTTCTGATCATCCTGCTCCAGTGCTTAGCCCTCACAGTATTCATCTTAACATCTAATCTAAACTTGCCTTTTTTCAATTTAAAGCTATTGCCTCTTTTCTTGTCACTACCTGCCTTTATAAAATCTCTTTTTCCTTTTTGTAAGCCCCCTTGAGGTACTGAAAGGCCATAGTGAAGTCTCCCTGAAGCCGTCTCTCCTCCATAGAGAACAACTATGAACAAGTCTAGCCATCTCAGCTATTCCTCTTACTTCTCTAACTAAAAAAATAATGCTGGGAAAAGATGTGTGTTATCAGATGGTGTTGAAGCAAGGGGTGAAGATAAACCTGAAAAAGTTCATGAAAGGAGACTGGGTTTTTGCATGCTGTATGGAATGGGCGGAATGCTGAGAGAAGGTTATGAGATTTGCCTGCTAGTTTCACAAAACAAAGTAGTATAGGGGGAGTTAAGAATGTAAGAAAGTTCAGCCAGAGCATATTTTGCTTTGCTTAGCAATAACAATGTGGCCTAATGCCCTTATACCTCCCCCAGTTATATTCAGATTTGCACTGCATTTCAATGCTGAATTCTTTTATTAGCTCTCATTAACTTCTGCCTCTTAATTGTAGTCATTATTCCTCATTAGGAAAGTTTTGCTAAGCTCCATTTTTCCTGTAAGTATAGACAGTCTCTGTTTCCTTCTTCAGTTACACCCTCTGCTTTCTTCATCCATCACCTTTGTCCTTCATGACACTCCTCAGCTCTGCAAGAAACTCTTGATTAAGAGCTATTGCCCTCACTTCCTGTTGCATCCTCCCTGAAACCTATGAGCTGTGCCATGAGGAATATCATTCCAATTTCCAAGGCCATGCCTGCCTAGTTATGTGTTTGTTGTTATTGCCTATGCTCTATTTATTTTATTTCCCTTTGTGCACTTGCAACATTACTTGAAATCTGAAAACACCCTGTCACTTATCTGATGTAGCCACATCTAGGGTGGAAGTGACAGAGCTGTACTGATCTAAGTGCAGTGTTGACATAAACAGGTGGGAGGAATTTCAGCCAAAGAGTTGCAGGATTAAACCCTACTCTTCCAGAAATCTATCAGGGATTTTTAGTGTTCCATAGAAAGGAAATAGGATACTTCTTTCAAAAACCTTCCTTAGAAAACCAAATACTGTGGAAATCAGTGGGCAGGGTTTTTTTGTAAGACCATGTGAAAATGACATCACAGAATTCCCCACCACAAGGACGGTCGCTGCCAAACACAACAGTGTCACAGAGGGTAGCGAGGTTTGGAAGGAGCTAGAGGCTGCTGTGCTGTAAGTATTCATGGTTTTTGTCACAGTCCCGTGGATTTTGACAGATACAATATAGTTAGATATATGAATTTCCCTCACTGCCTCTCTTCCTTTTCCTCGTGGTGGGTTTGATTTTGAAGTTCTTCTGTATTCATTTAAAAAAATCCAAAATTGTAAAATACACAGACCTCAAGCAGGAAGACTTAATAAGAAGCTCAGGGAATGACTAAGTTCCTTGAAAATACCAAAGCTGGTAATTTTAAAACATGAATGGATAATACGTTTTCTGTTTTGTTTCCAAACTTCAATACTAAGCAATCATATACTTATAAAGCCACTCCACTCAATCCAAATCCTCTTAAGAACAAAGAGAGCTGTTTATTTTTATAGCTTGGAATTAATCTGCCCTTTATATACTAGGCATAAGGCCCATGGGCATTTCAAGGTTTCCAAGAAGTATTTACTTTTCTCTGCTGGAAATACTTTAATAATTCAATAATAAAGCCATGAAGGATGTATGAACAACTCAAGGAATATAAACTGCAGGTATTAGGCTGAATTCTGTCTTACATGCTGAAATCCAAAGAGCATTGAAAGTACACTGAGTTGGAGAAGTGAAGATAGTATAAAACATAACTGGAAAACGAACTAATAGAAGTACTGTACTTGCCAGAGGAATCAAGAAAAATTGTAACCTATGTGTATTCTGTATTTTGTAGTACTGTGGTATCCTGTGAGCTTGAAAGACTAATTTCCATGTTCTCAATTACAGCTACAGTCAGTAAATGCTGTGGATATATAACAACTTTGAAAAGCCGATCCTTAATGGTCCTGTGAATCTAAAATAAAGAACCCTAAACCCCTTAGTTCCAGGCTAGTCTCCTAACACAAGAAACGCCCTTCATTCCTTTCTTGATTCACACAACTGTAGAAGCGCATAAATTTTGTGAAGCTAATCACATTCCATGTTAGTATTGAACCGTACTTCCTCTAACAGATATAGCCTTAATATAATGACATGAGAATGCTAATTAAAGGCTAGTTTTGTGGCATAATCATAAATTAAATTTTATGCTAGTCCCAGCCCTGTGTCGTGTCACTGAATTTACTGGGCTTGCACTTCAATCCAAGTGATGATCACAATGATCATCACTTAAGCTCCAGCAGGAGTATTATGACTAACAAACTTAGTATTTTAGGTAGTCTAAAAATACCTTTGGCAAACTGGTGTTGAACGTTATTTTTATTCAGTGTTTTAGAATTTGCTTCATCCTTGTTTGTTACACCAAGGTTGAGCTCTGTGTTACCCTTGTACCTTGGCAGGCAAGGAACACTGACACAGTTTTTTAAGCACTGACTGTGTCAGCACAGCAATTACAGAACTATGCAGAGGGCTGTAATTTTGGGAGATGAACTTTCAGCAGTTGTCAGTTTTTTCTTTGTCATGCACTCTACTTCTGGCCTTTGTTCTGGACAGCAGTACCCAAAGAACTGATCAAACCCAGTTGAAAGTACTGCCCAAACCCTTCTGAGCAAGGATTTTCTAACTTGGCCTATGCTAAGCTGTGATGTTTATAGGATAATCTCACACAGGGGTGCACCAGGACAGTTTTTCCCACCAGAAGTGGAAACAAAAGGAAAGGTCTAGAAACATCTGTCCTGTCACTGCTTCCAAAATTCCTATGACAATGAAGAGTGGTCTAGGGGTGTAACAATCTTTGCGTCAAGGACTCTCAAAGTCAGCCAATAACATCTTTTACTATTACACCTGAACAAGAATTGCATTCCTAAAACGTAGCAATAGTTGGGACAAAACATATCTTACCTTACTTTTATAATAAATACACTAAAATATTAATGTATGGTAACACATCATAATGGCTCTACATGGATCTTTGTTTAAACATGAAAACATGGAGGCAATTTGAAAGCTCTGTAACTAAAATATAATTCTGTCCAAAGACAGATGTTTAACTCACTTTTGGCTCAGTTCACATTTGGTTCAGATGATTTTTGCATCTCGTCTCAAAAGTGAGAGTACTTCCCAAGGGTAGCACATTGTTTTGCCAGAGTATATAGTACGTTGTTTTGCTCTCACACAAGGTAAACAGAAACAACTAAAAAAACTCAAACCAAGTGAAAACAAAAAAATAAAAAGGAAACGTGACTGGTAATTTCTGAATTTTTTTCTGTCATTTTTTGGAATGAATTTTCTGAATTTCTAATTTTCTGAATATTTCTGTTGCATAACTTAATTGAGAATCAAATAAGTACAGGATGCTTTCATCTCATGAATGTTGAGTAGTCAGAATGATTTCTCTCAAGGGTTTTCATCTATCTCTAATGCTTGTTCTTGCCTACCATTAAAACAGATGAAAGTTGAAGAAGAAAAGCTTAAGAGAAAGATGATAATAGGGATGCATATAATCCAAACCAGATCAAACAGGGGTTTAGTTTTCAGATGTTGCTGAACCACATCAACCTGGCAGCTGAATTTGAGTAGACTATTAGAATAAGTAATGAAGTGCGCCAATAGGGATAATTAAATTTAAAAATTGTAAGATGCAGGATATATTGCGTACTTGATCTCCCTTGGTGGGGTCTCTTTTAAAGGTTTATACTATACATATACATATACATATACATATACCAAATACCATATACCATATACCATATACCACATACCACATACCACATACCACATATACATTTTCTTCCAGGAAATTTCTGCCAAAATTTTCCATCATCAAAAGTTTAGGTATTCTTTCCAGAAAATTTTATCTGAATCTCAATGACAGTCAACATGATTTCACTTTCTGAGACCAAACAACAGGTTTATGGCGTAGGAATCTTTTGTGAGTCTAGCTGAGTAACGTATCTAATGAAAGACTGAGAAAATATTTACTAGTACAGTTTTACATGCCCGTTTGCCTAAGAAGGTGAAATAGTACATAAAAGAGGCAGATT